TGTAAACACATTATATTACACTATTATGTTTACATTATTATATATTCTATAATAAAACATTATAAAACCTATATATTATTATACATTATTATATAATAATACATTATATTGATGCTGCAGCATGTTAATCATGTGGGTGTACACCCACAAAACCACATAATATTGTATTTATTTATTTACTTTTTATTAAGGCTTTCCTAAACTCAGTATCCAAGATTCCTCTGCTTAAAATAATAGCTTTGTATGTTCTTCCTCTAATGCTTCTGCCCTCTTGTTGCTTTGCCACATCCTACTGATCACACTCAGATATTTGAGCACTCTCTGATGTTGCTCTTAATTCAGGTGTTGGTTTGTTCTTGGTCAGGAATAGGCTTTTTCCTTTCTATGGCCACATCTGCATGTGTGGGCTGACCTTATAGCCTTCTGACCAAGAAGAGAATAAACTTGGTGCCAAGCAAATTCTGTAGCACAACTTGTCTTAATCTAATATGCTGTTGCTGGCGATGGGGCTCTTGAACTTTGTATACCAGCCTTCTCTACAACAGCTGTATCCTCCTGTATCTGGCTTGACCAGAATTCCAGAAAAGGTCAAAGCCATCTTTCACAAGGCTCAACTTCTTATGTTCATAGTTTTATTTCAGCTGTAAGTTACTCAAGCCAGGTATTAGGCTGCTGCCATGCTGCAGCATTAATACCGCTTATTGCTGCTTTAATTGTCATGGTTCCATCCTATGGAATCCTGGGATTTATAGTTTATTGTGGCACCAGGGTGCGCTGAGAGAGAACATTAAATGTCTTGCAAAACTACACATCCCAGAATGTCATAGCTTTGAGCCATGGCAGTTAATGCGGTAAAAACTGCATTAATTCTGCAATTAAGTGCAGCCTTAGATGAACTCTTTTTCAAGAAATGAGGCAGGGAGGAGGGACTGAAGCAACAGGGGAAGGCCTTAAAAGACTAATGGTTGTATGTTGACTTTAAAAGAAAAGATGCCTTGATAAACTTGGATCTGGGCACAATGAAAAAAGCACACTGAGGTGGGAGTACAATTTAGACAGAATTTATTTGGCATTTGTGAAAGTGGAGCTGGATGTTTGTGGACTTTGACAAGAGCTTAGAAATGTATGTTTCAAAATAATTACTTTTATATTCCAAGTCCTTGGTAATTTGCTGCTGTAGTAATTACTTTTATAAAAAGTAACTCTTTTATAAAGTAACTCTTCTCCATTCCTTAGAAGTAACTACTAATAAATACATAATAAACTAAAAAAATCTGAATCCTAGAAGGCACCTGCATGTACAGGTATACCTCAGTTAACAATGTAGTCATGTTCCTAGGCATTACCTCTTTAACAAAAAATTTGGTACCAGATGCAGAAATAACATAGAAAGGATAAGGATGCACCAGAAAGACAAAAGAGCAAGTCAACATGTTTCAGCAGACTGTTTATTCCACACTAACAATATGTACATACACAGGTCAAGTAATTCTCATATAAGTAAACAAAAACATTTTGAATCTCCCAGAGATCACTTGGCAGCATCTTCCAAAGTGAATCCAGGGATGATGTCTTCTTTCACTAGTCTCCACTTTTCATATAATTTCCATTTGGGTGTCCAGACTTATAGATTTATGCTTTTTTTAAAAAGCATGCTAGGAGTAGCTTGTGGGGCAGATTTACCTGCTCTCCCCTCTTCCCTTTGTTTTGCTGTTCATACATGTTTAACAAGAGACTTTGAGACAGCTGCTGTTTACTTTTTCTGTGGCAGAGAGGCTACACAGCTACAATAAGGTTGGCTAGATGTAGAATACCATACTTTCCAAGCTTGAGCTTTATTGTGTTGTTTACTGCAGGCATACTGCTGCAACCCAACATCAAGAGTCTATGTTTCTCCAGGCTTCCTTCACCATCCTCCCAATGCTGATATTGCTTTTTTAGAAAAAACAAAACAAAAAAACTTCCAGTTACACAGGGGACAAGGAGGAAAGTGGGGCTGGGTGGGCATAAAATACTTTGTAAAAAGGAGCTTCTTTGTCAGAAGCTTTGTTAATGGAGGTATGCCTTGTAGCAGGCTTGGCCGTTTTAAGCCACATTGGGTTAAAACCAATGGCTAAAAAAACCCGCTCCTGTTCCTTTAAATTGATTGCTCATATATATATATATATATATATATATATATATATATATATATATATAAAGTCTGGCTATTGTTACTATTTTCAGCCTTCTTACTCATACACCAATGACTATTTGAATTTATATTTTTTAACTCTAATGGTTTATTGGCAATTGTTCATTGTTAGACCACAATATCCATTGTCGGTTGCTTCTTTTTCATCACTTTATTTATAGTACAAGAAAGGCCATTCAGAAACAATTTCTTCAGTTAACCTAAGCTCAAGAAAAACAACTAGCTTTTAAAAAGCACTTTTAAAGAACAGTTATTATTATTATTAATATTTAAGCTAGTGGCCATAACAGCTTAACTGCATTTTACTACTTGATTTTTTGATTTAGTCCTATATTGGTATATATAGTCTTACACATTAATGCAAAGAAACTGGTTTAAAAAAAACAAACCATTTAAACAACAAGAAAAAGGAGTTTAGGTTTACTGTTTTTTTAAACTGCCCCCCCCCCAATCCCTATATTCTAGTGAAAAATGCAGGCTGGAATCCTGTTGGTTATGCTATGCTATGCTATGCTATGCTATGCTATGCTATGCTATGCTATGCTATGCTATGCTATGCTATGCTATGCTATGCTAGTATACCAGGCCATCATAGTGGCAGTTGTACTTCCACCTGGGTTGTGTAGTAGGTTCACAAGGAAGTATCACAAAGCCATTGTCCTCGTCCTTGGGAGAAGAAGACAGCTGCCTAGTCCTCTTCCAATGCCTGGCATGCGGAGCGGTTCTGAAGCAACTCTCCTACCTAGTCTTCCCAAGCACCTTGTCTCCAAAATCCTGCTCTGGAAGCCAAGCATTGGAGAAATAGGGTGGCCATTGTGTTATTCCTCCTGCTTCTGCCCCCGTCTTCTTACACTGGCATAGTTACACCAGCGAAGTTACCTACAAGATTTTGGCAAAACTCTCTTCCCATCCACATCAATACATCACCCACAGTGGAGCAATTGAACCATGTGATATTCCTGAGCCACCATTGTGTGAAGCCACATATGGCTAATGAGAAATGAAGCAAAAAGTTCCTGTTACACCACAAAAGAAGACAGATTATCCCTCATTCATTTATAATTGTAGTGTTCCCCCTTTCTCATATTAGAAATTTCAAGGGTGGAATACACACGACTCTTAAACAGGCTCTTAACAAGGCACTGACTACACCTCCTTGCAGCATCAGGAAGGTTGCTGCAATATGTTACTTCAGACCATGGGATCAAGAAGTCCAAACTTTAGGTTTGAAAAATACCAACTTTTTAAAAATGCTGTAAAACTGCTTTGAGGGACAAATGGGGAAGGGGTGGTGAGTCAACAGGTCTTCTGAAAACTTGATAGAACTAGTTTTTCCCTGTACTCAGCCCTGGAAAATACAGTATAAACAAGTATGTTCCCTAATAAATCTGCCTTTTACCACCACCACCCCACCCACCCCCGTCTGCCTACTTCCTTTTCTTCCTTGAATAGGTCTGGGGCACAGAACATGATGGTTCATTCACCTGCCCTAAAATAAAAAACAAACCCTAGGCCTTACATTCCTTATACATTA